TATTTCACCATTTTAATGGTTAGAAATGAATACAAGAATACTTATTTTCTATCAGCCATAGGACATGCATGTTCATAATGCACAGTGAGATAAATATTAAAAATCAAAACAAAAACAGTTGCTTGACAGGACACTGAAAATTATCAACATTCATCTACAATAACTTATAAAATTGCTTGAAGCATTGAATAAAAAATAACTTACCCATCTGCATCTCTTACTTGAACTGTATCATTATTTGGATCTTCCATTCCATTAGCAGGTAGAATATGTCTTGAAACTAAAAAAAAAAAAAGGTATAATTAATTTTTTCAGGACAAAGATACATCATCACATACTGGTTTTATGTATCCTTGCTACCTAAATTTTTTATAAGATACCCTTACTTAGATTAGTTTCAAATATAAGGAGTTTGACAAAGGTAAAATGCTCAAATTAAAAAATATATCAGAGTATTCAACTGTTTTTGCACAATAAATTGGTTTACTTGCTGACCATCTCTAGATCATCTTGGGTGAATTAACTGTGAACTCATTGACTCCAAAAGTTTATGTGATGCAAGCAAATGAAGTCAAACTAAAGAGCTAAGGCTAACCAACACTGTCAGTTATACTTCTAATCCATAGTTATAGTTACTTAGATGTGAACCAGTAAAGTTTAGTCACTTTACAACATGCTCCACTGAAGTAAATAAGAAGAAACTTGAGGAGCACTCAGTAGAGCGCATACCTCCACCATGCACTGTTATTCACATCTACCGAGATGGGTGTTGAAGAAAACACCCAGATGTACAAGGTAATGGGTAGGATGAAAACAAGACCCCTCCAATATGATAAACCATCCCGCCTGCACAGCTGCGAGAAGGAGCTGACAAGCTTGTTCAAAATGGCCAAGAAGAAGCCAGTTGTTCCATGGAAGCACAGCCTCAGGTTATAAATATGCCGAGCAAAGGAGCAAATCCCTCAACAAAAACATATGGCATGGAAGCCAGACAGTAGGGCAGAGTTCTAAAAAGTTATATTACCCAAGAGGGGCAAACTGGTGGGAGTAAAACACGTGCAACCTGAGTGGAGCAGGTACGACAACCTGTTGGGTGAAAAGGTTGAGTACTGCCTCGGAAGTCACAGGCACAACCAGGAATCCTGAGGAGAAGGAAGGAAACAAGAGAGAGGGGAAAAGGGTATGACAAAACCTTCTGATAGAACACCATGAAGCTCAACTTCGGAGAGAAAAGGGCTGCTCTGATGAACGAAATTAGCCAGATGAGCTACCCCAGTCCAGAATTCACAAGGCAGTCAGATGCTTGTAAACTCTGTTCTGTGGTATTGCAAAACTTATTAATATGTTGTAATGAACCAGAAAATGATGGTCCTAAGCAAATTTGGAACGAAGAAAAAATGACTGGAGTTTTTATTTGATGAGTGAAATGTTAGCCATTACAGAGTAAAGGCCATAACCTTGAAGTTTGAATGTGATGTTCTGGCTGATTATGGCTTATTTATGACACCTAATTTCATCATTTATATTTAAGTAGTATTATTTTCCTAATACTCTTTTTTTATTATTATTCAAATACATTTTTTTTCTATAATTTCAGGGGGAATACCCCCCTTGCTCCATTCTGCAGATGCCCATGTTTCGAACTCATATAAGTTTTTGTAGATAATTAAAATTAACAACAACAAAAAATCTGTAAAATTTGATTTATTTAAGTTTTAACAGATTGTACTCGAAGACATTATGACATTTGCAACATCAAATTGTGACAAAAACTGACATTTTCGGTTTAATTTTTCTAAAGTTAATTTAACTTAAAACTTTCATAAGTGATAATGTTAAATTTTACTATTTGTTGGTAATATATATTAAACTATAAATGTTCACACATTTGGGAAATAGTGCATAATTTTTGCTTCTTTAGGTTCAGGACATACTTCTTGATTCACTTACACTTGAGATAAATAATAACATTGTAATGAAAGTTGCTTTGTTTTGGAACTAGTTTTCTTTCGTTACCTGCAACTGTATTTCCAATAGATACTTCTCTGTACACAGTACCTATCCCTCATGTGTCTGCCTTTGAGATTTTGCACTTGCCACTAGCATTGAGTTATCTCCCACCTAAGACATGTGCATAACAATCACCATGTGACAATAGCCCTCCATGAAGAGGAGGGTAACATATTCTTTATGCACAGTATATCCCAATAAGCACTTGAAATTAATTTCGTTCTTAGGAGTGTAGAGTGGTAAGTATCTACTAGAAATATATTTTCAGGTAAGGGAAATGTAAACTTCCAAAATAATATACTCATCTCTCAGTACACAGTATCTAGAATCCCACACTGGGACCATTACAGTTGAAAAAAACCTAGATGAGCTCCTTTTGAAGAATTTGACTAAAGGGGGAAAGTCTAGGGAGTGTGATGCCCTATAGTGGGGTAATACTCAACGGAGACTGCATCCACGTCTTGCAGGGTATACTCTTTGCCCAGATGGAAATATGAAAGGAGGAAGGCAAAATGAGCTAATGTGTCTAAGGGGAGGAAAAAAAAAAACGACATAACAAATCAAACATTTGCACACAACAAGTTAGTTGGACTTAAGGTGTAGCGTGGAAGAATTGATCCTGATGGACAAAATGAAGAGAATATCTGGAGGGTGAGGTGGCTGGAATGTGTAAAAAGGCATCTAAAAGTCAAAATGGAACAGAAGGATGACAAGATACTGGTTGAAATATGACAGGTCAATAACAGAGTGCCAGTCCCCAGTCTTCTTGGGGATCACAAGAAGATAAAAGTAATAACAAAGAGCAGAGCTAAATACTCCTGATGGTGTTCATGGCCAAGAGATCTGAGACTACATCCTCAAAACACTGTAGATAAATGGGATCAGAGAAAGGAAACCAGAAAAGGGGGATAAAAAGGCTGTGGGTGAAAACCTGAAGAACCCAACTATCAGCTGAAAATGGAGACCAAAGGCTGGCAAAAGAGACAGATGGGCTTCCATGGGGCCAGATCTGATAGGGTGGTCATCGAGGAGACAAATTATGACCATGATAACAGAATATATGAGGATTGGAAGAAGAAGAAGAAGGCTTGGAAACTGGAGTGGGATAGGGAAATATGGTTTCAGCAGGCCTCAGGGCAGAAACAGAAGGGTGAGATTGAGAAAAATGAGAAACCAAAGTATACAATGAGGATTTATGCTTGTCCACCTTGGCCTGGATCTCCAGTGAGTCAGGAACACTCCAAAAGACCGAAGGGTGAAGAAATAGAGCCTGACAAAGATCACAGAGATAAGGGTGAGGGAGGAGTATATTAGCTAGGAGAGCATCTTGTCCCAACAAGACTAACACCAAAGGAATCAAGTATGGAGGTACAGAGCAGAAGAATTACATGCAAATGTGGTGAAAACAAGAGAACAGAACAAATCTTTCCAGAAAACCCCTTGAGAGAGCAATGAAATGTCTCAGAAACAGATGAAGTGATAAGAGCAAATACAGGTGGGTGGTAAGAAAGAAACGAAGGTGTGAAAATTAGGTACTGGAAAGGGAAATAGAAGTTAAGGGTTCCACCCCAAACAGGTAAAAGATATCCAAAGACTGGAAATCAAGGGATGAAAATGAAGAATGGCTAAAATTCAGGACAAGAGACAAGGCATGTTAGTATGAGTATGCAGTTGTTCAAGAAATGGGTCCACATGGACATTAATATCAGGTGAAGGAGGGAAGACAAAGTAAGCTTGAGTATCAGTTTCATGTAATACAGCACAAGAGAAACTGAAAGATACAGGGGACACAGAAAGAAATAACATATCTGCAAAATCATATCAAAGAAGAGAATAGAAGGGTAAAGATTTTCCTTCACAGATACAGCTGTCCCTACAGAAAAACCTGAGAAAATAACCAGTCAAAATCATTATGTGCTCATATACAAATTCGAAAGAAGAACTGTCAGTTAAATATATAAGAGGAGGAGGCCCAGTGTACATTAAAGAACCCACAACATGTTGAACAATGAGTATCAAGTCCTCCAAAGATAAAAAGCCACAATAGACAGGTCCTATGTGCAGAACATCATCATTATGGAACAAAGTGGAAGTTCATATCACCTGAGAAGTCATAATGGTGGGTAATCATGAATTCTTTTAAGTGAAATTAAAATACCACACTGGTTATGTGAAACATGAACACTAAACCAGGTAAACTTGAACAAAAATTAAAACAGTTGTAAACTATTGCAAACCTCAAGTAATTGATCAACAATTTTGAAATACACGCACTCTAGACAATGCCAAGGAAAAGAATGAAACTTAGTGGAGATACTGCAGAAGGTTTTGTCCCCCTCCTACTGCTGAAGGGCCATCGTCTGATCATGATGATGATATCAGGCACTAGTACAGTTCACGGAAAACTTGTGTTTTTAGGTGAGGAAGTAGCTCAAGACTAGTAAAATTAAATCTCATAGGCAGATATGCAAAGGAAATAAGCTATTCTGCGTGTGGAGGTAAAGCATCACAACCTTCCTTATGCTTCAATAAGTTTGACAAGCAATGACATAGATAATGCACAACTACCGAGAACGTGGTATTATAAAATTTTATGTATATGTAATACTATGATCTCTTGATTAGCTATCTCTCTATCAACCTCAAGCTGCTTTATAAGTGCTTAAGAGAGTTTAAAATTAATTATATCGTAAAGTCTCTGCACATCATTCTGTTCCATATACATATAATTTGTGCTTGTGAATTTGAATAAAGATTGTTTCATTGTGTTTTTTGTTAACTGGTGTCCTGTCTTTTTCTTTGTCAAACTCAGTCGAAGCCAGAGAATTCAAAATTATTTTGTAATAAATATTTTGTTGAATATCCTGTTAGTCTTTGAACCTACCCCACTGCTCTAAGGAAAATCATTTTGACCTGAATATACCACAGTAACATAGCATTATACCTAATTATTTATTAATCATTCTTCCTGAAATGTTTCCCGCACATATGAATAAGAAGGGAACATTCCATCATTCAAGGCTAACCTTGCACAATCACCTTTGAGAAAAGTAAAAATTTAAACCCACCCTTTATTTTTAAGGAAATCATAGATTCCCCTCTTGAACTCCTGTAAAGTCCTAACCTCCACTACTGCTGACAGAAACTCATTCCATAAATCAATCACCCTGTTTGAGAAATAAAACTGCCTTAACTATAGCCTAGCTTATCTTTTCCAAGTCTTACAATTTGTGTCCTCTAGCCCTATTACCTTCAGAATACAGAATAAAG